TTTCTTTAAGGTATAGGCATTTAAAAGTTTCATGCTGACATTCAGGAGAATGTAGCAAAGTAGGACTCCATAGCTGTTATCTCTGATACCTCATTGGAGCTTATAGGTCTAGCCTAATCAGATATCCTGAAGTGTGCCCTTGCTGTAACCAACTGCCTAGTAATAAACCTTTACAACAGTATTACTTTGGAAAAGGTTGTCTGTTGTAACTACCTTTATAACATGTGACTAAAATAGGCTGAGTCACTGCCTGCAGCTGAAGAAAACTATAGCATGGAATTCTGAACAGTAGTAAGCAAATTCCTCAAAGCCTTGCTGCTGGTTTTTGGAGTACACACATCTATTTTTGGCACTACCTGCTAAGGAACAGCCGACATGCTGCCCTCTCCTATAATCTACATGACTTATTTTCCTAGGTACTATTTCAATGATATTGGGCTACACAGAACTTGGCTAATAGAGCATTTAAACATTTCAATTTCAGCTGTCAGCTGAACTCATGGAGTGCAAGGTAACATTCAGAAGAGCTCTTCATCCTGTACTTGCTAGTTTTAGCTGGAGGTTTGAGTTTTACAAAGGTAAAACCTTGCATAGCCAAAGTTGCCTTTTTTACACAGCCTGTCATTACTAAAATCTGCATCTTCTCACTCAACAGGTTTGGTTCTCATAATCAAGAACTTAAAATCCAGCAAGGTTTACAGGCAAAATTCTCTTTGTCCTAAATTTTCAACCCAGTGCCCAGATGATTAGCTGGTCTTGGTGTTAGCATACTCTGAGGAAACAAGAGGGGAAGGAATCCTCCACAGGCCATGGACCAGCTGCTATTCCAGACTTAAAGCTGAAGTAGACTTTATGATCCTGATGTATATTTTCCATAGGGAGAGAGGACAGAAATATCTACTTAGGACAACACACAATGTGTGCTGCTATGTATGGAGCCACAGTGGCAGAGAATTCAAGACCCCACATGGGTCTGTTTCTGTGCAGTCCACCCCAAACTCCCTTACCCTAGCTTTGAGAAGAGGTCAGGAATAGTCCCTCTGGACAATACATTTTGAGCCTGCATGCAGAATATATATATATA